TACAGGTGCACAAACTTTTGCTGCAATAAGAAAAGCACTTCATATGCTAGAATTATGGAGGAATGACGCTTGGGAATCGGGAAAAAGGAGAGGACGAGTTCCGATAGAATCACTAAGTGCATGCAATGGCGAGAATGACCGAGATCGGTGTGCACGAGCTGGATAAACTGCAGTCTGGCCGGATAGTCTTTAATGCAAACTGTTTTTGGAGAATGGTATTTGCCTGACGTGTGTGCATGTCCGCTTACGGCAGTGTGCGATGGGTCCCAAACCGACTAAGTAACTGGTCGACGCCTGTTTGGGAGAGGAAAGAAGTAGAGGTTGGAGTGGATTGTGGTTGGTTAGCCTGGGGCCTATGTTTGTCTGCTTGCCCAGAACAGGGAGCATAAAACAAGAAGAATGTTCCAAATAAGAGGACATGAGATTTCAGTTAAGATTATGTCAGAACCGATGTTCAGAAAGTGTTCCACGCCACTCGAAGCTACACACGACTCCGAGTGGCGCACAACAGTTGAGGTTGAGGTCAGAGGCAAAGAACGACCGTCGTTCGACAGGAGCAGGCCCGAAGACTCGAATTCGCCATCCAAATAATCTGGTGGAAATGATGATAATTTGTTGTCCTGACGACAATTAGTCAACAAAAAATGTGATTGTTATTCGTATTGTTTTTGGTGGTGGTAACGATGCTGTTGCCGCTGTTATCGCTCACCGCAATAGAGTGCGAGTTGTAGTAGTTGTATTTGGCGTGGTGAAGTTTGCAGGGCTTCGGCAGTCTCATGGTGCTGAAATTTTCTTTACCTGATGGCCCAGACCTGTGGTAACGCCGATGCTATTAGCACGTCGGCGAAGACGGACTCGGTTCTGAACGGCCATATGCATTTCCATGAGGTCCAGAGACACGGCTTCGCTGTTCCTACGAGCAGGTGGTGAAGTTTAGAGGACAGATGGACAGGAAAAAAGGGGAAGAGAAAAGGATGTATCCGAATTATTCTGAAATTAAGAGCATGTCTCACTAAGAAAAAGTGAGTATGATATCATTATTGTTTCGTGGCCTGACCTACATGCATACAGGCTTGCATCTCAATAGCTAAATGTTACTTCATCGACAATGCCAACACAGTTAACGTCGATGTTGGGTTCATCGGTTTACACACACACATACACATACTCATTCATAAGAATCCTGATTAAAAATAAATAGAACTAAACAAATAATCCTATATCCATCTCAATCCGTATATTTGGGATTTTACTTATGAGTATAATGCATGATAGAGCAAAATAGTCTCCTATACTTGAAGCTAACTAACAGCCATTGTGTAAATGAATTCCAGCCCCGATAGCGCCCATCATACGACGGACGAAAGCTCAGCCCTTTTTCCCCTAAAACCAAGGGAGAATGTATCGTTAACTGAGCCAACGTGGGCGCCATATTAAAGCCAATCGGCCGTAGAACAACTGAAATCAGCCTTCGTCTCTCGGTAATTTCGACTGATGCACCTCTTTATTCGGCACTTTCATATGAAAGGAAAGCCTCCTCAAAACTGGCTCAAATCTGCTTTTAAGATCTCCTCATAGTTACGAAACCCACTTTTATATAGACAGTAATGCTGTCTATTCGCCTCATTCACCATTCCACCATAAAAATGCGAATTGAAAGAGGCCTATCCTGTCTTGACGGTCACATCGTCTCTGTGGCCTAGTTTCCCCTTGGTTGTGATGTATCGGGTACTGTATGGTATTTATAAGGGTCTAAATGGGGCCGAAACTGCGGTCCAGCCTGGAATAGAAAACCTTTTGAGAATTACAGTTTGTGAAATTCAATAGCACAATGAAGTAATTTCGACAATTACGGATGGATAAGCCAAACTGAGCTGTTGGTGTCATATTCAGAGGTTGGAGCAAACGTGGATCCCCATAGGCAACGTGAAGCTCAGGTCTGGCTTATGCTCAATGGTCTAAAACATACCAACCTAAAAACACAGCTCAAAGGAGAAACTATTGTCGTCGCATTTCGCCTTAGTAACTAGTCTTTTGTTGAAAGAAGTAACGGAAATCCGACTAAGTAGTTTAAAGTCTTAGAGCTTTGGAAACGAAAAATATTTTGGAGAAATAATTATAATATCCTACTAATTATGATAAGGATAATAGCCTGAATGGGACACAGAGGGCAGGAATAATCTGGAATATGGCCATCTCGCACAGAAAGCACGGGAGCACACATAAACCCCTCAACCAATAACTATATCACACAGG